GAGCACGGTTGATTATGGAAAAAATGTAAGAAAGCGAAAGAACCGGAATCGGCCATTAGATTTTAAGTTATACTTATTTTGAATGCCTAACTCAAGATAGCATTGTGAAATAAAATCTCCTGATCTCTTTCAAGTAAACATGTTTGGGAATTTATTATCACATATTTAAATTATAAATAGATAAAAATGATGCTTGGTTAATTCACTTTCACAACTACTACATAGAATCATAGTGATAATAGACTAAAGTTTCTTTCAAGACCTTTCCATTAATTTTGACCACACCAATCTATCACAATATTAATTAAATAACATTTTATAAAAGTACCTCATTTGTTAACATTTCGATCGTAAAATAATGTTTGACTAATGTTTATAAACAATTATGAACGATCAAATACTTTTTATCTATGTAATTTCAATATCACAGATCATGAATCCTTACGATCAAAACTAGAACGATACTATTGTAGAGGTGGAGCCATAGTTATAAACCCGACGACCCACATGTTCGATCATTGATCCATCAGTTCCACTAGTAACTCGATGTGCGTTAGCAATTTAAATATGTTAAATAGGTTAAACAAACATAGGTTAAACAAAAGTGTTGTTGAAAATGAATTTAAGGTTAAATGGAACCTACAAATATATATTATTAACTTATTCACTTCTCATCTTTGTAAAAATAGGTTAAACAATTGCATGGGAAAAACGTGAGAGAAGAGATTCATAATTTCAAATGAAAGCCACCCCCATGTAGATTGCCGCCCTATTTGAATATCAGTAAAGACGCGGTCAAATATGGGCCATGTACCTACGTACAAGTCGGTGCCACCCCATACTTATCTGTCACAGATACTTGTCGCCGGCCCATGTACTTTAGCTAATTAGCTCCTAGAAAACAGCCCACATTCTCACCCCCACCTCTTCCTCTTCTTCACAATTTCGAAACTTGCACAAAATTCTACATAAACCAGTCTTTATTCTTTGATAATTCCTCTTCATATTCTATTGTACTTCTTGCATTCTTCTAGGTGAAAAAGGTACATCATAGTACCACCACACGTACTACATTGTTTTCAAGAATTAATGGAGGTGGAGCAGGAGTGTACTACTCCAAAGAATCAAGATTATCAGATACCAGCGCCGATGGTGTGTCCGCCGCCACCGAGGAAGAAAATGGAACGCCGGCGAACTAAGCAGAACCCTCCAAAGAATGGTTACTTCCAGTCACCTGATATTGAAACATTCTTTGCTAATGGCCCAGGAAGAGAAGCTTGGGCTTAGGTTATTTTTTTGTCCCTATCTATTTGTATGTGTCTTTGTCCAATTGTTTTTTCTGTTTGTAGAAGTAATGCAGAAGTTCTTCAGGTGAGGTGGTAGAAGAAACATAATATCTTAGCATATTTGTAAATTCTATTTGTTTGATTTTCGTACTAGTTACTTCGTTATATTTGAGTCAGATTTCAAATCAATCTGAGGGTGTTTGGTGGAAATTAAAATTAAATTTTTAGTAAATTGTAATAGAAGTTTTTGAAATGTTTGGTTGAAAAGTTGTGGAATCCATGAAACATGACTTGGATTAAAATCAGCTTTTAATTCAGACCAAACAGGGGTATATATTAGTTCACTATGTTTGTTGATGGATCCTTACTAAGATTCATGTAGTGCACTTTAAATTACTCTTTACTCCTAGGGTTTGAGAGAGTTGGGTTATATGGACTACTTTTAGTTGAGTGGCATGGAATTCTGTTTTTTATTGAAAAATATGGGAATTTTTTGGTTTAACTCTTTAGCTGTTTTTATGTAGAATCAATTTTTCTATGCAAAGATATGAACCAAAGTTCATTTTGAAAACTGCAGGTTTCTGTTTAGTTGATGCCAGATTATTATCTCTAGTTTGATTTTATTATTTGAAGTATGAATTAGCAAGAGCTTCCAGGACCATTTGGAATATAACCCTTTGTTTGGTGGAGATTAAAATCAAATTTTTAGTAGATTTTGATAGAATTTATGAAATGTAAGGTTGAAAAATTGTGGATGATTTGAATTAAAATCTTGATTTTAATTTCTACTGTACGTACTATTAAGAAATTTTGGTCACATATTTTTATTTCTTTTTCCGATTTTAGGTTTTGTGGTGGTGTAATCCGAGATCCCTTTTCGGGGATGAGAGTGAACTAACTGATTGAATGGAAAAAAAGAGTGAAACCATTCGATGAAGTTGGGAAGGACCTTGTTAATAATAGCAATGGTCTTTGAGCCTTTGTCCAAGAACTCGGACAGGTGATAAAAGAAATAACATCTCAAGGGTTATAGTTATTTGAAGCTTAGGAATTCGAATAATACTTTGTTTCTACACCAAGTGTTGATGAATCGATTAAAACGTTAAAATTTAGAAAATTTCGTACTCAAGCTAAATTGCATGAAAGGGCTTGATGTAAACAAATTTAGGTAAATTTTTTTTTTTTTTTTTTTTTTTTGAGTGTTGATTTGGCATGGATCATGGATAAGATGATACATCCTTTTTACCCATTCTGTTTTTTATTCACTTTCTCCACTTTTCAACCAAACCTCATTTTGGTTTCTTAAACAAGCCCCATAGAGTAGTTAATGTTATGCTTATCTCGAGGATAGGCAAGTGCGTTTGGAAAAGAAGAAAAAACGTATTAAAATTTGAGGTTCCACCTTAAAATGTCAACTTTATTAAGAGGAATAGTCCAAATTCTTATAAATTGATTTATGTTTTCATTTTTATTCGATGTGAGATTATATTCCTTAACATATCCCAGCAAGATGGTGACTCATTTGAGCAGACCAATTTTGAAATCTTTGTACTCAATTTTTTAAAGTCCTAATCGGATCGAATTACTCGTTGGAGTTTAACATGCTCTGATACTATATTAAGATTTAAAGTTTTATCTGAAAATGTCAACCTTATTAAGAGGGGTAACCCAAATTCTTATAAATTGATTTATGTTTTCATTTTTATTCGATGTGAGATTTTATCCGCTAACAGAGAATAAGTATATTTGTCGACTGCAAATGCGTATGCCCTAAATACTTGTGCACAAAGAAACAAACCTAAATTAGGCTTCATGAGGCGAATTAATCTGAGTGTACAGAGAACTGTTTCTTCTATTTTTTTCACAGATAACTCACATGGGGTGGGGCCCATGTGAGTTAAAATATTGGAAAAAACCCCACCCACCCCACCTGCTTGTGAGTATTTGTTTTTTCCCTGTTTTTCCTGCTTCTGTACACCAAGTGCAGTTCTCATGAGGCACCTTCTAGGACAAGGGACTAGAGGGCATTTATCCCTGGACAGTCCCTGGCTTGTGAATTATTCTAGTAATCAGAATGTCCAATTTGATTTGAGATCAACAGTATTAAATCGAGTAATTAATTTAGCTTAATACGAAGAGTTTTGCTGCACAAACATAATACTTGATATAGGGGATGACACAATACACACACATGGGAAAGTCGACATTATTTAATTCAGATCGGGACCCATATGTAATGTGAGTGGTCGGTCAACCCCTATGTCAAGCATTGTGTTCATTTAACTTAATTCTAATACGAATTAAGAAATCTAAGCGATGAATGTCTTAATTGCAAAGTAAGAATAGTTGGAAAGTGGGGTCGACTGGGACATTGAATCCTTAAAGAATAGAATTAAAGGGGAATAGTGGCTTTCGTCTATCCATGCCCTGCAACCACCCTCTCTTCTCCAGTAAGATGAGTTTTCTTAAAAAATTTCCTATGTTGACCTTAATTTTGTGGGAAATTTTAAAATATTTTCAGAAAAAAGAACACATTGATTATACTATAACGTTGAATGGTGTAATTTCCTTTTCAAGCTTATCATTTTCCTATATTTATTTCTCAGCATTGAATCTTTGTGTAGATGTAACAATGAATCAATCGTGGCTGAAAAAAGCTAGTATAATCAACCTCAAATTGAATTCGTTGAAAACTCTAGGAGCGCAATAGAGTAAAATGCATTTTATCAATAAAGATTGCAACAACTACTGAATGCCATGTTTAGTTCGATTTATGCATCCTTTTTTAACCTATTTCATAGAAATCGTGTCACTCTTATGAACCATTGTCTCCTTAGTACACAAAATATGTGCCGACCACTTTAACTGACGTCCTCCTAGTTTATCTCAATTGATGAACCTTCTTTCCTTGAAACCCGAATGCTTAACACGAGAAGCTCCAGTGATTTATGAAAATTAATTGTTAAACTCTTGCTCTGTTATTTGTGCACGCGCTTATAGGATATAAACAGGAATTTCAAACTATGACTAAGCACAGTCAAACAAAAGACCACCTTGAAATGTGACAACATTCTTAGTTACCCGGCAGGAGGGCCAGTGGTGGGGGAGGAGACATTCTATTTGAACTGAAGAATGTGACATTTTTTATAATTCAAGTCTTTGACTCTGAATAAATTGATTAATCTCCAACACTAATAAGTGATTATATAAGTAAAAATCCACTTAGGATCAGACAAGAAATTATCTTACTTAATCAGCACTCTAAAATTCAGCTTGACCAACAGCAAAGCGGAACATGCAAGGTGACCAACACAAGGAAAATGAAACTCCAAGAACATTCTCTGCATCAGTCCTTGATGATAATCTTCTTATTACCTAATCTTGTCCCTATTTATAGTCCCACAAAAAATGTAAATCATACAGTTTTTTGTAATCTGGACTCAACATATTAACACAGGAGTAAAGAGAGTAATAGATGGAGCCTGCTTCAATGGCAGTCTGGCTGTTTGGCGTTTTTGCTGCACTGCTACTGCCCGAGTTTGCGTTTTGCATGACACGAAACTACACGTTCAATGTACATTAGTTTGCCTAGACGAATATGGTTTTTACATTCTATCTTCTGCTACTAAACTGCTGTTTTTGTTAATCTGCCATGCTAGATTGTACAGCACAATGTAACAAGATTGTGCCACACAAAGAGCATAGTTAGCGTCAATGGACTCTTTCCCGGCCCTCGCATTGTTGCACGAGAAGGTGATCAGCTCCTCG